TTCCTTCCCTTCTCTATCACAATATTAATAAACCCCTAACTAGAGTGACTTAAATATGTGGATTCCACAGTATATCCCACTACATTCAACATCCTGCTATTATCAGAGTGAAAATGTCAAACTTTAATGTCAGCCCTGGCTAGATCTGAATATTTAAAAGAGGCTTCCTTTTAAACCTTTTTTATGTTTTGCTATTTTTGCTACCCCCTGCCCCAGAGATTTAGAGGAAATAATCTCTTGGTTTTGTTTTCCTTCCCTGTGAAGCCCAGTCTGAGGCAGGCTGCCACTTTTCCCCTGACATTTTCTTTACACAGGGCTGTTATTTTAAACTGATGGTCACAGAGTTCTTGTCAATAACATGGAGACAAAACACTCTGCATAGCTGATAAATTATAAGCAGGCACCATGTGTTGGCTTGATGGATTGTTATAGTGAATGTGTGTGAGTCATGGGTGTTATTTTTGGTCAAAAGAATTGTGTGAACTTTTCTCCTCTATTTTGAGCGGATTGAAATGTACTACTTTTTTTGTTGTTGTTCTTTAAGGTGTATGTCAAGGAATTAGGCACCATATCAGAATAGTCATTTTATAGTTTTCAAAGTTATTGTTTCGGAGTTGAGGAGGTGGAAGAACTCAGTAGGAAAGGATTGTGTTGATAAGTAATCCAGGCAGTTAAATGTAGAAAAAAAAATTACAGTCACCTGCTTTAAAGCAGTGGTGTCTCTCTCACCCTACTGTACTCCAGGGGTCAAGTTTAAAGGTGGGGTAGATTTACTGTGAACTCACTTGGAGGCATTGTGATTTTAATTGACTATTGTTTCGCAGCTGATGTAGTAATGCCTGACTTTATTTTGTAGATTTCTTTTCAACTAGGCTGCAGAGTAAATAATCACATTGCTGGGTCTCCAAATCGCTGTCTTCTAAAGCAGCCCTGTCTTCACTGGATGTCTGCCTTGCCCTAGGTCCCAGATACCTGGGAGCACCATTCAGCTCAATACTTTTCAACGTGAGGTCCCCAAACCAGTGCCAGGCTGCAACTTAATTGTTTCTAGCTTGCAACACACTAAGTGCAAAAATTGACAGTAGGTGTTCAGAAACCTTTGCTGTCAATGTGACAGCATGATTTTATGTTTGTTGAATATAACAATAAACGCTTGGGGTTTCATCTTGTCTACTTAAATTCATTTTCCTAGTAATATGTTTTTATTGCATTTTATAAAAGTATCAATCTGTGATGGATTAGGGGAAGAGAAATGGTCTTTCCCCACTGACAGATTGAGTTGTACTAGTTTAGCTACTGCAGTTGTATTGGTCAGCGAATGTTAAGGTCTTTCCACTCACCTGAGACTCAAGGTGTTATTGATTCAAAAAGCAAAGGTTAAGGATGTTGCAGATATAATAATATAAGGATGTTGCAGATATAATAATATAAAATAAGGATATTGCAGATGTAATAATATAATAATTATTATTATATCTTTTGTTAAGTTTCCTACAAACATTTCTTTGGGCATCTCTTTTGCCATTTAGAAGTAGGCTCCTGTGAATGTGAATTTTACTGTATCTTCTCCAGATGGGGAGACTGAGATTTACCTGAATGTGTGCAGTTGGCAACCAGCTCTTGGGACAGAGCTGACACTGGGCTGCTAGTCCCGCCCCTCCCCTGGGGACAGTCACTGCGGCCTGATGGCCTGTCCCTGCATCTGGCAGGGAGGGATTCTGTTTGCTGCTGAGGGGAAGCAATGTCTGGGGGAATGTTCTGGAGTTCCGTGGAGAAAAGGCAGAAGCCTCCTACATGTGACACTCTGGGCCAAGGCAGGAGAGCTGCGGACAGGCAGGAAGACCCAGGAAAGGGAAATCAAGGATTGAGTCGTCTCTCAACTTCACTGCCATCCCCGGGGTCAGCCTGTTCTTATTGCCTTGAGCTGCTCTCCTCAATGAAAGTTTTGAGCTGTGAGGAGAGAGAGGGAAAGAGGGAAGCTTGTTTGCCTTCTCCCCTGCCTGGAACTTCCCCTCTGGGCTATCCACGAGGTTCCTTTCCCTCCTTTTTCAAGTCTTGGTTTAAATGTGCCCTTCTCAGGGAGGCCTTCCTTGGCTTTTCCCAGACACACTCTCCTCCCTTTGCCTGACTAATTTTTCTCCACAGCATATATCATCTGACATACTGAGTCATCATGTATTCTATGTAGTATAATGTAATTAATGTGATGCCATTGAAGAGACGTCTGTTTACAAGGTCAAGGATTTTGTCTGTATTGTTTGTTGCTGTATCTCCAGGTCTACAGCCGTGCATGGCACATGCCAGATGCTCAGTAGGTATTTGTTAGGTAAATGAATGAATGAAGCATCCACAATAATCGCAAAGGAGCCAACTGTGTGCAGAGAGGCTCTTACCACTTCTACACAACTCTGTTCCCGTTTAAGTTGGTGCCCCTGGAAGGGCCCAGACAAGGGAAGTAACCAGCCTTTACCCAGCACCTACAGTCTGCCGAGCACTGTGGTGGGTGTTCTGTGTTGACTATTATAAATCCGTGACCAGGCGCATTGGTTCTTGCCTATCATCCCAGCACTTTGAGGGGGTAAAGACAAGAGGACTGTTTGAGCACAAGAGTTTGAGACCAGCCTGGAGCAATGTAGCGAGACCTTGTTTCTTTAAAAAAAAAAAAAAAAAAAAAAAGCATTGTTAGCTCCATTTCACAGATGGGAGATGCAAGAGGCTAAGAAACTCACACAAGGTCACCCAGTCCAGCTTGTGGTAGAACTGGGAGGAAACTTAGTCTATCTGATTCTTTTTATCCTGAGAAATTTCTAAAGACAGTCCATTGGTCACAGTGTCACTTGTTTCTTTGCTTTCCTATCTGCAAAATGGGAATACATTTTTGTCATCCATTATCAAAATTTATCTTATGAGAAAAGAACTCTGGGAAAATTGGAACTCAACTATTACAAGATACAAGCTTTGCAAATATGGGTCTGAAAAATGAGATGAAGTTATTGAGTAATGGTCACAAATAAGTGAGTAGAGATCAGGCTTGATGGAATCCAGCCAGCAGAGATGAGTGTTTTTCTATGCCAGACTCCGTGCCAGACACTGGTTTCAGGGTTGGTACTTGCTATTATGATTCCACATCTCTTACTAGGCTGAGACTCTAACTTCCAGACTCAGCTTATTGTCTCTCATTTTAACAATATTTATGGAGCATCTACTAGGTGCTTGGGGGAGGTCAGAACAGAGAACAAAATTCCTTGCCCTTCATGGAACTTATATTTTAATAAGGAGGGGGAGATAGGAAATCAGCAGTAAGCAATGAACCAGGAAGTAAATGATATGGCATGTTAAAAGGTGGCAAGTGCTCTAGAAAAAAGGAAAGAGTAGCACAGGGGAAGGTGGCAGTATTAAACTGAAGGGCACAGGTGGACCCTGTTGAGATGGTGATCTTTGAGCAGAGACCAAAGGAGATGAGGGAGGGAGCCAAGAGGTGCTCAGGAAGGAGAGCATTCCAGGCAGAGAATGCCCTGGGACTGAGGTCATGCATGGTCTGTGGGGGACACTGCAAGGAGGTGAGCTCAGGCTGGGGTGGGGGATAACTTGTAGGTGGAGACAAGAGAATACCCCAGCAGATGGGATGCAGGGGCGGAGGGGGTGGTCAGGTAAAGTGAGGAGTCCAGGGTGGGCCAAGGTTTAGTCTTTCTATTCTTCCCCTGTACTCCTTGTACTTCTTTTGTTAGTGCCTCACATAATTATGTATTCCTCAAAGTATTATCATTGAAGTCTTTGGCGACTGAGCCACCCCGGGTCGGCCTGGCCCCAACGTGTCTGGATTTGGGTCTCTTCAGCTGTGACATGAAGGGAACCTTGAGGCAATCTTCAGTGTCCCTTGTCCGACGCTGAAGGGGTTCCTTCCGGGAGTCACGTTCTGATCACTTGCCTCCTGCCCCCCTTTCTTGCTTCACCCATCCACGAGTCTTCAAACACTCACGGCCACACAATGCATGTGGAAGCGGAGGAAGTAGAAAGCAGGATCCCTGCCTTCCAGCAGTTTTCGGTCTCTTCTTGCCAAGGGTTAATAAGTATGTGACAAGATGGGTGATAATCAGGGCAGGTCGCAGTAAGCAAAGTAAGGATAGTGCACAGAACCCGAAGCCATGTGGGAGGGGAGGAGAGCAAGTAAGGCTTGAGGAGGCAGCCAGATGGGGAGAGTCAGGATTTCTCGATCCGGGAACCTGGAAAAGGGGCTGGAATATGGCAGGCAGTGTCTGCATGCTCTGGGATAAGGGGCCACAAGACCGTGAAATGAAGCTGGGTGACAGAGGAGGCTGTGGAGAGAGAACCTGCCACACAGCCAAGATCAGGATCTGGGTCAGTGGCGGATCTTAAGGAAAGGAAGCCTTCAGGAAGATGGGGATGCAGGGCAGTTGTCCCGGCTGTTGACACTACGTGAACTGGGATAAGGAAGAAAGGGGTGGGAGGACCAGCGCCCGGGGACTGTGATTTCAGTTGTTGCACATCATTCACCGCTTCTCTGGCTGCCCCCTAGAATTGTAATAAAATTTCTCAGCATTGAGGCAGCCAAGAAAAGCTCAGAAGATATATTTGAAGGAAAAAACAATCTAAACAAAAAAATGGGAGCTTTTTGTATGTTGGCCCAAGTTTTAGAATTGAATTCTGTGTCCATTTTCAAGATTTTTAGTGATAAGTTCTTAAATTTTTTTTTAAGTCTCAAATAACACTGACTCTTCTGTTACTTGTTCAGGTGCCCTCCGTGAGCCATTCTGGAAATTCTTTTCATCCCCAGAATGAGGTTCATGACCAACTTCATTTTCCTCCACGCCATTGTAGTGGCGTGATTTGCACACTTGCTGCATTCACATTTGTTTGCTCTCATGGACTTTGTGTGGTCTGATTGGGCTTGGATGCCAGCACCAACAAGCCAGATAAAGCCTTGCGTGTATCCACTTCTCTGTTTCTGATTATATTTCATAATGTGTTGATACTTCCAGGCTAATCTTGTACAGCTATTGAGAGAGTCTCAGGACCGAAATAAACATCTGGGAGAAGAAATCAAAGAGCTTCAGCAGAGACTTGGAGAAGTCCAGGGCGACAATAAGGTACTGTGAGTATTTAGAGGGAGAAAGCTCTGCTTCATGATTGTGCATTAGAGGTTTATGTATGAGGGAAGGACCCCAAAGAAATGAAATTATCTTTTGGAGGGCAGGCTCCTTGTAGTACAGGCTTCCCTCGTTTGGTAAGTTTTCTAGGAGCCCATTAGAATCAGCGTACCAGCTAGTATTGTTGTGAGTGGCTGCATTCAGCTTCAGTGAATACGTTTTGGAGATTCTTTCAACATGTTTGCCCATGTCATGATGGGTGATTTAGGAGCACACTTGCCACACCACACTGAGTGTTCAGCAGTTTTTGACCAAAAACGGCATGGCCCCCATGCCCTCCTCTCCCTACTCATCTTGTCTCTCCCTGAGCAACTTTTTTTTTTGTTTCCCCGGGTGAAAAAAGTCCTCAAAGGGAAATGTTTTGCTGCTGTGGAAGAGGTGAAACAAAAAAATGGCAGAAATACTAAAAAGCATTAAAATTGACGAGTTCAGAAACTGTTTTGAGCAGTGGGAAAAGCGTCTTGATTGGTGTATTGTATCAAAGAAGCATGCTTTGAAGGTGACTGAAGTTTAAACATGTAAGACTAAATATACACATTTTAATAAATAAATTCCAGGTGTTTTGGGGTCCACCTTCATATATAGCACATCAGAAAAACACAGTGCAGCATATTTTGAAAAATGTGTTATAGATTTGTAGATTTATAATGAAAACACGGTTTAGCATTTCTCATCTTGATTACATTCCCTTTGAGTATGTGCACATGTATACGTGTGTTTCTGGGTGGCTCTAAAATATTGTCACAGCCCATTGTAGAAGTTTCATTATGTTCAGCTTGGTGGCAAGTAACATTGTGGTTGAGGGCAAAATAAAACCCAAATGCTATACTTTTCCCCTTCTATACAAATAATGGATTTGTGGCTCAGATGATTTGGAGTTATTCACAGTCGGTTTTGAATTTTAAATAGTCATCCTACTAATTATGTTCACATAACCAATTTATTTTATTGCTAAATTTGGCAATTTGTATGGAACATTGCTCAAAATCCACTGCTTGGTATTAATCAAACTCCCCTGTTGGCAACGTTAATTATAAAATATGAACTCATAAACTCCAAACTAAATGTATGCACTCTCTCTCCCAGCTGAAGCTATGAACAAAAGTACAATTGAGAAAAGGAAGAAAAACTACCGAGGTTTAATTCTGTCCCCCAAAATAATTTCCCATTTTGCCAAGACTGATTCATTTTCAACTCCTTGCCAGAGAGAGCTTTTGCAACAGAGATGGCGTTGGCATTTGACTCAAGAAAACCGTATTGTGGGTGTGTGTGGAAGTGGGGCTTTCTGGGAGAAACATTGTCGAGATGTTACCAAATTCCTTGATAAATGATGGTGACTTTCATTATTATTGGGATTGTTGGTTATCAGATGGTGCCATTTTGAATGTATACTCACTCTTTTAAAAATACACAGGAGTGTCTGGGTTATCCTGAGAACTCTTCCACAAGAGATCAGAGAGGGCTCTGCGACTGCTGGATTGAGAGGCCCCATCTGAGGACATATACTTCTCTGAGAAATCTTTACATAGCCTCTTCTCTGCCTTAATCTGCCTTAACTGTTTTGGATTTAACATAAATTTGAAAAATTAGGCTCTGAAACAGAGGGTGGGAGAGAATGCCCAGGAAAGGTTCTAATTAACCGCAGACCAGCTAGTTAGGCCCCTTGGGTGGTTTTACATGTTGCCAAAAGGATTTAAGCTCCATAACCTAGGTGTTTGGTCAGTAATTAAAGGCTCGAGCTTTAGTCACTTCCTCAAATGACAGCATCAGGGCAAGGCTTTTCTGGAGAGTGAAATGAAATGGGTGCAGTAGTTTTCCTTAAACCCATAAAAATACTAGAGGAATTTATAAACCCACAAAATGCTGAAATATTTCGAAGATGGGACTTTCGGATGCATGGCTCTTCTTGACCAACTGCTAATTCTTTTTCTGGCTTATCTCCTTTTTTTTTTTCCCTTCTGAGTTACACCCACCCTGCAACTTTCTTTGCTAAATGTACTTCTGCCTCATCTGTTGATCACTTTTCATTGTTTTTCATTTTAGCCACTTGCATTTTAGAAATTTACATTTGTAGTGGTTAACTGATGGAAAGAGAGGGGAGGGTACATGTGTGCATGCCTGTGTGTGTGTGTGTGTGTGTGTGTGTGTGTGTGTGTGTCTGTGCACGTTTGCAGGTGCAATACTAACCACATGTTGGGGGCTTCCTGTGCCTGGTCACAGCCTGAACTTTGTGACTTGTTTGCACTCTGAGTCGTTATTCCAGTTGCTGAGCACATTGATCAAACTTTGTGTTCTTTCCCCCAGGTTTAGAATTCTGTGACTCATATTCATGGCCTGTGAAGCAATTTGCCTGCCAAACGTTCTCATGTTTGGCAGACCCCTTCTCAGTATCTGGCCTCTCCCCCTCAAAAAGAGACGAACTGCAGTGAGCCCCAGTGATGCCATTTCTCCTCGCTGGCATCTAAAACTACAGGGCTGGTTTATTTTCAGGCTCCTGTGAGTCATGGTCATCCTCCCCCTACCCCACCTCCAGTCCTCAACACTAAGGCCAGATTACTCATTCGATAATGACACCAGGCTTCTTGAGACACTCAGAAGCCTCTCTTCAACGTGGCTGCAACAGTGCCACAGAGAGTGGGTTAACCCAAAGGGTTTTTGGTTGTTGTTGCTTGATTCATCGTGTCACTTGCTGCTCCAACCCTTCCATTGCCTTCTGAATCCAGCGCCACTTCCTTGTCACGGTGTGCTAGGCCTCCAGGATCCGTCCCCTACTGGTTTCTCCAGCCACATCCTCGCCACTAGTCAGCTCATACTAGAGTGCTGATTTCAGCACCTTGGCTGGGCTGTACTGCCCAGTGCTTCAGGGCCTTTGGACTTGCTGTTGGCTCCTCCTGGAACACTCTTTCCGTTTGCTTCCCTTGCAAGCTCCTGTTTATCTTTCAGGTCATGGGTCACCTGCAGCCTTCTCCTGCTCTTAGCTGTCAGTCCTGTGCAACTTGCAGTGCCCTGCTCTGCCCCTCCACTCGCACTTGTGTGGCACCCCTGGCTCCCAAGGGTGAGCTCTTTGTGGGCCGAATTCCTGACTGTGTCCTAGAAATTAGCATTCTTCGTTCTTGACGCATAGAAACGATTTCATCTTTATTGAAGGAATGGAATTGAATGCATGAATGAACACACGAGTAAAATGAACAAATAAAGGGAATGCAAAGAAGGGCAGAAGGATTCAAGAAAGAAGAAGACCAAAAGAAAAAAGCATGCAAGAAATAAGCAGGCTGACTGCTGTCTGGTTGTCACTGGTCTTCACTTTGTCGAGTAAGGGGCAGTTTAGAAATGTGGAGAAGGGGCCAGGAAAGCAAACCATTCAACGGGGGGGAAAAACCCAACCCCAACCCCAGCCTCTGGGAAGCCCCTATACAGAGAGCAGAGGGTGGGATGCTGAGCCTTGGTGGACAGAGGACAAGTGTCTTACTCCTTGGCTGGTGCAAGCCTGTCACATTCAAGAATACTTCATAATTGTTTTTTTATTTTTTGGAACCCGAACTCTGATGCCAAACAGAGGAGCTGAAGGCATCGCTTTATGAGTGACTGTTAAAATGGAAGGTTTTTTTTTTTAATCTCTGAGTTGCCATTTTGACTGGTGACCCTTATCCATATTTGGGGAAGCCCAGATTCTAGATGTTAAGTACATTTGAGAAACAAGGTGATAGGAAATTACTTGCCTTGGATATTTTAGGGTAGACTAATTTTTCCATTTGTTCAGCTAGAGCCTTGTAACCCTACGTACCATAAAGCATTTCCAAGCAGCCTCTTGAAAGATTTGTCGCCACCTTGGCTTCCAAGCAGCTTAGCACTCACGTGGGGTGGGGGTGGAGGGGTCCCTGTGCCAGGATGGGCATCCTTCGGTGGGGAGGTGGGCTGGGGGTGGGCTTTGCAATCATCACCTCCTGCCACCTCCCTGTCTGGTGTCCAGGAATTTCTTAGGCTCCCATACTAACACAAATCTCCAAGCCAAACCAGATGAGAGGTGTGGAAAGGGAAACCTATCAGATACCTTCCCCTTCCTTAAAAATTACAGTTCTTAAAGGTGAACAAGGAAAGAAGGGCCCTCTGGGGAAGCAGGGACTCACAGCATCACAAATCATCCCGGAAAAGCTTTGCACATTGCCTGGGGCTCTCTGTGTCAGTCTGTGAGGAATAAGGACCAGTTATTTGGAAATATTCAGAAGTCGCTGGGGCCATGGAGACAGCTGCAGCTCCCAGTGGTCTGCCCCTGGGGTCTGCCTGCTTCCTCTTCTGGGCGTTCTGCACCTCATTCTGGTGCAGGGAATTGGGATCAGGAGGAAAGAAGAGGTCTCAGAGAATTCAAAGGTTAGTAAATCAAACAGCAAAACTAGTCGAGGACATTTGAATCACAAAGACAGCAGTCTCCCTTTATCCATGGGGATACCTTCTAAGACCCCCAGTGGATGCCAAAAACTGAGGGATACTACTGAACCTGATTGCTGTCAGTCGGAGCACATTTCTGTTCCTGTCTTCCACCCACAGATGTAATGCCTTTTCCATCCTAAGCAAGCACTTATCACGCACTGTGGTCGTAACTTTTGCAGTTTGAGGTGTGACGGCAAAAGTAGCACAAATTTATTTTTCTTTCTTTACAATTTCACGGATAGAAGATTTGTTCTTACCATAGACCTTAGCAACCTCAGCATACAATTCTTTTCTTCTTAAGTCAAGTACTTTCACCTTTTCGCTTAAAGGAAGCACTCTGTGGCTTCTCTTTGACATATCTGAATTGCCAGCATCACTACTGTTTTGCTTGGGGTCATTATCAGGCAAAGTAAGGGTTCCTTGAACACAAGCACTGTGATCTGATGACTGAAATGGCTACTAAGTGATTAAGGTGGTGTGTAGCTTAGAAAACATGGAGATGCTGGACCATG